CTATAAGAAAAAAACCAAACATGAGAAAATAACTTTTCAAATTTCTCAATATAATGAGTTCGAATATGACAACAAAAAAATGGGAATTGTTAAAGGACGTCCATTTATCGATGGGCTTATGTTTCATGAATTTTCCTTGGGAAAACCAGCTGGAGTTTGTCCTAGTTTGCCAACAGAGTCTGATTACAGAGAAAAAATCCCTATTAATTCGAAAAAAATGGTCAACATCAAGAAACTTGTACAATATTTTGCAAGGTGCTCCCAACTCCAAAGATTACAGATCATTCGATAATTGTAGCTGATCTGGGTAGAAACAATGAGACGACACTCACAAAAACCTATAGAAAGTACAATACAATGGATGTGACAGGATTTCAAATGAAACTTATGGATATGCAGTGGCCGTCAAGTTCCTCTATAGATGTAAGTAACAATGCTGATATTCTAATAACTAATGTATTGTCTGCACTCGATCAGTTTGCTCCAGAAAAGTCTATTAATACGAAGGATGTTTGGGGAAATAAATTATGGTGGAATGAAGACATTGCGAATGAAATTAAAAAAAGAGATCAATATTACAAAAAGGCTATATTTACTAAAACTGATACTGACTGGGATGATTTCAAACAACAAAGAAATAGAGTCGTAGCATTAATCAGAATTACCAAACAAAATTATTATCAGGAAAAAATAGATGATTGTAAGAATGATCCAAAAAGAATGTGGAAAACATTAAAGGAGCTTGTAAAAGGCAAAAAAAACCATGAAGCTAAAAGTGAAATAATATTTGATGGTGGGGGGGTTACTGGTAAAGAGATAAGTGAAAGATTTAATATATTTTTTCTAGACAGTGTAAAAGACATAGCAGATAGCATTATTTCAAACAAAACCACCAAGAAATTTGTAGTTCAATAAATGTCGACTGCAAAATGGAAAAATTCAAAATGTTAGAATGAAAGATTTAAACAAACAAATGAAAGAAATGAAAAACAAAGAAAGTAATGTTGATGGTATTACAGTTCAAATTTTAAAGAGTTCCTTTGAAGTAAATAGGCGACAAAATTTTGCATATTATAAATGGTAGTTTAGAAAGTGGCGTATTCCCAAGTAAATGGAAGAGAAGTCTGGTTGTACCAATTGAGAAGGTTCATGGAACTGTTAAGTGTGAGGAATTTCGACCCATAAATATGGTACCACCATACGAAAAACTGCTGGAATTATGTGTAAATGATCAAATAGTGGAGTACTTGGAAAGCAATAATGTGTTAACTAAATTCCAAGCAGGGTTTAGGAGAGGAAATTCCTGTGAGAGTGCAATGCAGACGGTTTTGTTTGACTGGAAGGGTGCGCTGGAGTGCGGAAAAATGATTGGTGTGGTTTTCTTAGATTTTAAACGTGCATTTGAAACCATAAACAGACAACTGCTATTGAGAAAGATGGAAAGGTAATGGCTTTGGTGAAAAAATTATAAAGTGGTTTCAAGAATATTTGACTGATAGAACACAAGTGACAAAATATGGTGCCATTTCATCGGCTCAGAAGTCTCTGTATGGTGTGCCACAGGGAACTGTGTTAGGTCCTACTTTTTTCATACTGTATATAAATGATATTGTTGATGTTGTTAAAAAGTGTAAGGTACAGTTGTTTGCCGATGATACTGTGATATATGCAATAGGGGATAAGGTAGATGAAATAATCGATATAATAAATGAAGAGATATGTAATATATTAAAATGGCTCGATAATAATTCCTTAAGTCTTAATGTAACTAAAACAAAAATGATGCTTATAAAGAATAAAAATTTTAAATTAAATAACATAATAAAATATGTAAAAATTAATAATATTGCTTTGGAGAGAGTGGTTCAGTATAAGTATTTGGGATGTATTATAGATGAAAATTTAAGTTTTGTTGAACATTTTAAGTTTGTTACAAACAAAATAGCAAAAAAAATCTATGCATTGGGAAGAATGTCAAAAAATTTAAGTTGCTGGTCTAGGTTGACCATATATAAATCGATTATTGCTCCCCATCTGTATTTTTGCTCTACATTGCTGTTTTTAATGAATGCTTCTCAAATGAACGTACTGCAGAAAAAACAAAATAAAGCCTTAAGGATAATATTAGGATGTAGTGTATACACTAGTAGAACTGACATGCTAACAATGGCAAATGTTTTAAGTGTAAGACAGACAATTGTATGTAATAGTATGATTTTTGTTTATAAAATGTTAAATGGTCTGATAACCTGTGCATTTTGTGTAATAATTGTACCTTTGTTCAAGATGTACATGAACACAACACACGTTCTAGAAATAACTTTTATCTGAATAGGGTCAACACTAATTTTGGTCAGAACAATCTTTTTTATAGGGGATTAAAGCAATACAATGAATTACCGGAAAACATTAAGGCTTCTGGAAACTTAGCTCAATTTAAAAATTTATGTAAGATATATGTTAAGCAAAGCATTGTGATTTAATTTTAAGGGTATAAATTGATGTATCTACATGTATATTTTTCTAGCCATGTGCTATTAATAAATATTATTATTATTATTATATGTGCCAGAAGACAAAATGTTTTTTTATAATGAGCTGATTTTATGGACTACCACTAATAGTGATGAACCACCAGAGAAAGATTACTAAAAGACTATTTCTTAACTTTCAACATGTTTTTTGCCACCTAATAAATTTGTTCCATAAAAATATTGGAGTTTTCTATTATTAATCATAAAATCATCAGTGTTTGTTTGGAAAAGGCCACAACTCCAAAAACTATATTATTTTTTACAGTGCACCTATATCTTTTTTATGTTGGATTTGTTAATGAAACTTCGTCATACATCACATTTTGAAACTTTACTCCGAAAAGAGAAAGATATCTTCGTTAATACCAAAATGAAAGGTTTTTTTCATTTCGTGTAAAATTAACATTTCTAGAGTTGTGGTCTTTTCAAAATAACCAATTCAATTGGTATTAATAACCAGACTGGCTTCTGTATGCTACTACAAATTCTTATATCTATACTTCTTGTACATTCTCCAAGCTTACACATTAGCTTTCTACATATTATAATCTGAAAGATATAATATAAAATACATAATTTTTTCCAGATATAGCCTAGTGCTCCATTAATTAATGTTAATCCTTAGATTAATTATTTGTGGAAGATGTTCCCTCTTTTCTCTTGATATGTCAACTTTCTAATTTTCAATTATTTCCCTATCAGAGAACCTTTATGGGTCTTTATTGTAGATAAAAAATTAGTCAAAAATGTTACTAAATTTACGTTTGTTGCAACTAATGAAGCTTGGATATTTTAAAAATTACCTTCAGGCGTCATATCATCTAAATTATTATCATCATTGTTTTCATCCACATCATTTTCCGAATTTGTATCCATTTCTTCTGGAGGCGGATTTTCCTCATGCTCATTTATATTCCCATTCATATTCTCACTTTGATTTTCTTTGATCTCATTTGGTGTGATTTCCTCCTCGCCCATGCTAATCTTGATGATTTTTTAAATTTGTTGATATTTTATCATTTTTCCAGAAACTGATTAATCTTTAAATTCAGCCCAAAGAAAACTAGATCAATTATCAAATCATCATATGATTTTGACACTACACAAACATAGCCTCAAAAAAGAATAAGAAGAAGAAGAAGACATTACACTGGTAATGTCATTGGTACCAAAAATAGCCAAGATTAACGCACATTTTTATCTGTGCACCCTTCCGTTTGGTGGCACTCCTAGTCATGTTCCTGTGCAAGAAGGTAATGCAGGCTTTAAACCATCGAGCAAAACGACAACAAAGACAAAAATTGTCTTTTTGCTCGATGCTTTAAACCAACATCAACAAGGCATCATTAAAAAAATAATAATAAAAGTACCATTTGTTCTGTTTCCTAACTAAGTTGTCCTTATTTAAGTTATTTGAAATTATCTTCTGTGTCTAAAAATCAAAAGTTACCACTAAAAACATGTAATTTCCACTAATTTGTACCTCTTGCTCAAGCTCTTACCAAATTCAGTGTAATTCTTTGTACAATATTATATTTTTTTCAGATTATATTGCCAAATAAAATTTAAAAATTAAAAAAAAAAACAATAAATAATATGAAATAATAAAACTGAAATAATGACGATGTAAAAATTTATTTGAAGTACTGCACTTTGCTTGTATTACTAATATTTCTTGTAACAATTTTATAAATAAAGATTTTAGTCTATATTTTATTCTTTAATTTTTTTAACAACTGTGACATTTTAATGTAATCGAAATTAAAAATATAACCTCAACATAGAAGAAACATAAACCCAAATAGTAAACGAAGAATATCGTCGTATAGAATTAAAAGGGTTTTTGTTATTTTAGGATTTATTGATTTTCCCTTATTTAAAATGAGTTTACAATCCTAGGTAATTTAACGTGGCTTTTGAATTTACCGCTATGTATATATATGTATATAGTTACGCACCCTGGCACTAGGCAATGCGCAATCATCGTTTTACTTGTTACAATTGGACTGGCACTACTACGTGGAAGTGTGCTGTGTAAAACAATTCTTCTTTTTGTTGACAATCTGAAAATTTCTTTTTACTAAATATAAATGTATACTTTAGTAGAAAATTATAGATGAAAGAGAGAGCATTTAAAAGATGATACGTAAGGTGGAGGAAAAATCTGCTTTTAAAGTGTTATTATAATATTTTCTAAGGTCCTAATATACAACCAGTAAACCATAGACGTATATAAAAAATACGTATTTGATGAAAACTCATAAACTAAAATTGACTGTACGATATTCATATGTGATAGATATGACAGAAGAATAAGATATTTAAGGTTATATACAAACAAAAGATTCCCGCCAATTTAGTTTAGTAGTCTTCTACAAAATACAATATTTTTGGATAATTTAAACATGGGAGATTCTCGTAAATATTATTTTATTATATATCATATTTGATCTACTAAATAATTTAATTTTAGCACAAGAGGCACGATCCAATAGAAGATCTCGAGATACTTCTTACAAAGCAAAAGCTTTTGAAAAATTCAAACAGTTAAAGAAAGGATTAAAAAATAAATATGAAGTTGATGAAATAGATAACGTTTATGAAGTAGTTGAAGAAAAACAGTATGTCAAGGAAGTTTTATCAAGATATGATGATGATTGGATTGTGGATGATGGTAATTTAAAACTTTTATTGAAATGAGTTTAATCCATGGTCACCATAAACTGTTTACAATATGTTTTGAGTATTTCATAATACCATACCCCCATATAAGCCTGTTTAGTAAATTAATCAGTCATCTCATAAAATCCTTTTTGTTTTTTGTTTTTTTCCTGCTAACACATACTATATTTAAATCAAATTACAGATGGCAGTGGATATGTGGAAGATGGTAGAGATATATTTGATGATGATCTTGATATGGAGTCAATTGCTCAAGCCTCAGCTAAAGGCAAAGGCACTAAACGAAAAACAAAAAATGTATCTGAAAATGCTGGGAAAGGAAAAATTCAACAAATGTTATCCAGTTTACCGTCAAAGAAGAAAGTGGTAATATAATTGAATCAATGATTTAATTGAGTGTCTAGTTCACTTCATAGTAAATTATTTATATTTTAGAAAAGGCTACTAGGTTTAGTGTTGATAAAATGTTTAAAACTATGTATCTATATATCTCTTGCTTACTTTTTACATTAATTGTAGTCTTGTCTAGAATCACAAAGACTAAAATTTTCAAATTGTAATTTTTTCTTGTTAAATCCCTCTACAATATATTAATTGTTATTATTATTTATTTACTATTATATTTTAGGAAACAAAAATTGATGATGATGATATGCTGTCAGAAATTCTTGGCGAGATTGACACCTCACCTTCCACTAGTGCACAAAAACCAAAGATCAAAGAATATTCAGCTTTAGCTAAAAAGTTGGCTGCTAAGGATTATATGAAAAATTTCTCCCAACCTTCCAAAAAACGTGTCATTGAGAGGAAGTCATTACCAAATCAGAATGTTGAGGAGGTGAAAAATGGTTCTGTGTTAAAAGAAGTACAACCTAATGTGGAAAAAACCACAAAAAACTCACAAAAAACTTTTTCAGAAAAAAATGTTATTAATCCTTTTAAAAAAGTAAAAGTAAGTTTCTTAAAATTCCTCAATTTCCCTGTTATTGATTTCTCTACCCTAAAATGTTTTGTATATAGTAGCATTTATTACATTTTTTTGTATTTTTTAAACATTTATTTATCTTTTGTATTGTAATTCAGAATAAAATTTTCAAATTGTTTAGTATAAGTCTAAGCAATGTTCTGCTATTCGTTTATTAAAGTTTCTACCAGTTTGACCTATGTAGTTTGGGCAGTGCCGAAAAACTTACATCTAAGCAATGTATTTAATTTTACATTTGTTCAAGTAATAACCCTATCATCACAGAAGGAACTACCCCCCATCATTTGGCCATAGTGTCAACTCCTATCAGTGCACATGTGTGAGTCTTTACATTCTCTATTTGTATCGATATTTCATATCTCAGGCACAGTCTAATAATGCTGCTACTGATTTTAATGTGACCCAGACCACTTTTTAGCTATATTTTTGTTGTTCATAAGCACAATTTTTATTTTTTTGTGTGTTGCATTGTTTACTCACAATGCTGATAATGTAATTTCCTTATTTGTTGGTGGAAAAATATTTTTTTCTACACTGGTTGTCTTGGGTTTAAGACATTTTTTTACCTCTTTCACTTTCGACAAAACTGCTTGTGTTATTATTGTTACATATTGCTATTTTTTAATTTTTTAGGAAACTCCTACAGCAAAACAGCCACAAACTGAAGCTGCTCAAGAAGTAATAGAAGAAACTCCGGAAGAAACTTTTGATGACACCTTGACAGAAGCTTTCGATGATGACTCCATGTTTGAAGAGTTGGATAAGACCCCAACTGGACCATCTCAAAAGGGTGCAAGTCAGACTATCGAGACTGATTTAACTCAGGATGACTTTGGTGATGATTTCGATGTTACCCAAATTGAAGAATTTGAGTCTCAACCATCTGAGGATGTTGAAGAAGCTAGTGAAAAGCTTTCAGATGAACTACAGGCTGAATTTGAAACAGAATGGGAGAACTTTATGAACAAAACTGTTGATATTGATAACACAAATGAAGCTTTGTTGGATAAGAGTGATATCCCTACAATAGATGTTGAAGGAAAAAAGGTAAATTTTCAAATTATATTTTTTTATGGAATTGCACAATATATTTTATTGTAATGTTTTATCTGCAGCTCAACTTCAGCTACAAATTCCATCCAGTACTGTCTTCGTGAAAGCATTTCCTGTGACATGACATCTTTTGTAATTTGAAAGTTTAAATTAAGGATTTTTAGGCATATTTCAAATGCCTCGTATTTGTTGCCAAAACCCAAAATCGAAATTTGCTGTTATATGTTTTGAACAATGGAACAATGGAAATTCCACAGCAAAAGGTCAATGGAAGTGATATATTTTATGGATCTATTCATAAATCATAAAAAATGGCAAAAATCGCGAAACATTTATTTGTTTAACCACTTTAGAAAATTACTTCATTTGTGGCAAAATCCAAATGCACCTTTTTGACGCACCTGAAAACGCATTTTGATTTTTGTTGATAGGATAGTCTGACCAAACGGTAACAACTTTTTTGTAAGTTGATACAAATTGTATTTAAAATTAATTTCTCACATAACTGACATTCAAATCGCTGGTCGCTTCAAGCGCTGTTTCTGAGAGAACAGTTCATTCTACAGGAAAAGTGCTATTAAACGTTTTTGTTCAAAATTATCTCAACTACATTTCTTGTTTGAAACAGTTTTTCTACGGCACAGCATACAGATTCTTGGTAAATCAATGTTTTCCGTTTTCCTCCCTGCCAGGGCGGTTTTAGGGGGTAGCCGGGGTGGTAATCTCTTAAGTATCTTTTTGGTGTCCCCTAATTGATATCTTCAGCAAAATTTAGCTTGTTGGTCCCATTTTTAGAGATCAAATCTCTGTTGACTGGACTAATAGCTTTCTTCTAGTGATTGTTACTTTAAATTTTTTAGGTATTCCGTTTTTTCTGGTGGGATGCTTACGAGGACCCGTTAAAGCAAAAGGGAACAGTTTTCTTATTTGGAAGAACTTACTGCGAACAAAGCAAGAGCTTCGTCAGCTGTTGCGTAGCAGTTAGAAACATTGATAGGCGTCTATTTGTTTTGCCAAGGCCATATGTAAGTAGATTATTTTTAAAATAAAATATGAAAAAGATTGTCCTCTCGCTAGGTAACTGTAACAAAGATTTAGACTTTAGGTATAAATACAAACAGGGGCCCGACAGGCCCGTGTTGCCCCTTTACGTGACAAAATTCTTTCGACACAATAATTTCAAAAATGATAATGAATATTTTGAATAGCTCATGACTATATTGAAGGAAATATACTTCTAAACAAATTCAGTGGTGCATAAAATTCAATAAATTTTTTTTTATCAGTTTATGATAAAAGAGGAGCTTCTTCGTGAATATCACAGTGGTTTTAGGCCTGGTTGATCAACAACAGAGCAGACCTTTGTGCTAAGGCAAATACTGGAAAAAACCAATGAATTCAGTATCGACACATACCATCTTTTCGTAGATTTTAAATTGACCTATGATAGTGTCCTAAGAAATAAATTGTATGAAGCCATGGATGAATTTCACATCCCCGATAAACTGATTGGTTAAGGGTACAATGCATAAAGTTGTTTGCAAAGTTGAAATACAGGGCGAACAGTCACATCAGGCATTTGAAACACATGTTGGGCTGCGACAGGGAGATGCGCTGGCGTGTCTCCTTTTCAACATAGCTCTGGAAAAGGCAGTCAGGGATGCCCAAATAGACAACAGAAGAAACATTTTTAATAAATCATCCCAAATTTTGGCATATGCAGATGATGTTGACCTAGTTGCTCGCACAACACGCAAACTAGAAGAAATGTATACCACCTTGTCAAATGCCTCAAAAAATATGGGCCTGCAAGTAAATGAGGAGAAAACTAAGATAATTGCATCAACACCCAACAATATAACCAGAAACATCGGCCACCAACTCACTGTTGGTAACTCTATCTTTGAAGTGGTAGACAAATTCATATACTTAGGCTCCCTGATCACCAAGGAGAATGTCATGACAGAAGAAGTCAAGCGAAGAATAATCGTAGCAAATAAATGCTATTTTGGATTGAGTAGACATATGAGAAGCAGAAACTTAAGCCAAAAACCAAAAATACCAATGATGATGATGGTAAAAGAATTGAAGTCTCCGGCCCATTGGATCCACCTTGCCTGGATAAGGGTTAAGTTAAATTATAATGAACTGGTAATTTAATAATTATATCGTATTTTTTGCCATGTCACTCAGGATATAATTAATAGAGAAAAAATATTGTACTGAATTTATAAGTCTAATTTATTAACTTTATTTATTATAAAAATGTTCTACACTTTTACAACATTTACAAGTTTATTAAAGTCTTTATTAATTTATATATACAACATTAAACTAATTTATTTTTACACTATAATTATATAATTTATTTACATGTATGTAAAACATACGCGCGTTACATATCAAACTGGATACAATTATATTTTCGGACTAAAAACTTGGCTCGATATTCAAAACTAACTGTAACTTAAATAAAAGGTTCCTCTATATTTGTATAAAACACCGTTAATCTGGAATCCCGGCGACCCCTCTCGAATAAACTGAAAAGTCATGCCAGACAGGTTTTTAGCGAAGCGGAGAACTTCTAGAAAATACTTAGAATAGTATAAAATTAGTAATAATATGTTTACAGTTTTATGAGTCATAATAAAATTATCGTAACAATATGAATGTAGGCGTGTATATTAATTTTAGGAACTTGGTGCAGATGGACAACCTACAGACACTCCAGTTACATTTAAGAAAATGTATGAAGAATTCAATGATAGGGTACTTAAGCCCATAGGAGTCAGTACCTTCAGATCTAGACAGACCAGTAAAAAATATGCCTTTGATCCGAATATACCACACGAATCGGAATATATGGAAATCAGATATCCAGTAAGTTTTTGTTATTTTCACTTATAGTAAATAGTAAACTTACAGCTGGCAAATCGTAACGTGTCCAGCGATAAGCGATAGATGGCTCTATATCTCATTATGTGCTGTACATTTTCTTCCCAGGCAACTGAAGGCCTCCCCCTTCTTCTTTTTTGTGTGTTATGTAATTTAAAGCTTTCTTTGGCTATCTATCTTCATTAATTCGCTTCACGTGACCATACCACACTAGTTGTCTCGTTTCAATTCTGTCTACACTGGAATATACAGTATTATCCTCCTTTAATAACTTCATTCCTGATATAATCTTTTTTGGATACACCACATGCTTTCCTTAGAAAATCCATTTGATCTGCCAAACTTCTGTCCCATAAGTCATAATAGGCTTTAACAAGGTTCAATAGATTGTCAATTTTGTTTCTTGTCTAATATCTTTACACATAGTAGAGAACTTAGACCTGCTACAGTCTATATTGCAAGGTAAAGTCAAAGGTAAGCCAGGACCCGGTAGAAGGAGAATATCATGGCTGCGGAATTTAAGAACATGGTTTAAGAAAACCTCAACGGAGCTTTTCGAGCCGCAGCGAGCAAGGTTATGATTGCCATATGATTTCCAACATCCGAAACAGATAGGAACCAGAAGAAGAAGAAGATAGTTTAGAATGTTTACCCCTTTTTTCCCTGCTGTCGTTCGTTTTCGATACATTGCGATAAAACAGGCATTAAGCCTATTTATAAAGTAGGAAGAAGAAGAAGATATAGGTCTGTAAAACTCAACGTTGTTATCTGGCTTTCCTGGCTTCTTTATAGGCAATACAATATAGTCCTTCCATGTTTTGGGAATTAAATTCTTATTTTGTCATATTTTGTTAAAAATTTGTAATAATAATGATTTGTAATCTGTGGGTAAAACATATAACATGGAGACAAACTATTATTTTGTTTGAGTCCATAATTTAATTCCCACAATTCAAATGGTTTTTCTAGATTGATAACGATGACTGTAGCTTCGTTTATTTGATTTGGTATGCAAGGAGGTGAAATTTTAAAGTGGAAATCTTCTATCCATGCCGCTTCACAGTTTGTCGGGAGTTTATTGGACTGCTTTCGGTTTTTGTAGCGATGTACTTTCTTCTAGACGTCGCTGACTGGACTGTGGGAGTTAAGGCTTTCGCAGTAGTTTATCCAACTTTGTTTCTAATTTAAAAAATTTTCTTTGCTAATGCATTAAATTTTTTGTATTCAATTAAATTATGATATATTGGGATCTGTTTTATAACGTCTATATACTGTTTTACAGTTATTTACATCTGTTTATTTCATTAACTAATGTTTCATAAATTTAAGGAAAATATAATAGTTATCGAATTAATTGTTATATTTAATAATTTATCATCATCATCATATAACGGGGGTCCTACGGCGATTGCCGCTTCCCGCATTTCAGCCTCCATCTTTTCCTATCTCTCCAATCTCCCTCTTCTAAGCCTCTAGATTGCATTGTTTTTGTAATTTCTCTTCTCCAGAATTTGGTGGTCTTCCCCTTTCCTTCTTTCTGGCGGAACATACATTAAGGCTTTCTTTGGCCACCGCTCCTCCTCCATTCTCATCACGTGACCATACCATTGTAATTGCCTTCCTTGTATTCTATCTGAAAGAGTATCTCTAATTCCTGTACGGTTTCGTATTCCTCATTCCTGATTCTTTCCATTCTCGATACTCGACATGACCTTCTAAGATAATCCATTTCCACAACGTCTACTTATCTCGTTCATTCTTTTGTCATCGTCCAACATTCGGCACCATATGTGGTAATTGGTTCTACAATTGCTCTGTATACGCGAAGTTTGGTATGCATCTTTATTTTATTAGACCACAGTAATGAATTCAGTATTCGGATGCATTTTTTTCCCTTGGGTTATTCGGTTTTGTAAATCTATCTTAACTCTGCCATCTGCTGATATGATGCTTCCTAGATATTTATACTGGTTGCAGCCTTTTATGACTGCGTTTTCAAGCCTCAGATCTGTGGTATTTCCTCCAATTTTTAAATATTCTGTTTTGCTTATGTTTACAGTAAGCCCCCATTTGGCATATTCCTCAAATAATTTTCGATTCATATAATTTATATCTTCCTCATCGGTTGCAACCACCACCTGATCATCTGCAAACAACAATGTATACAGAGTTTTCTTGTCCCACTTCGATGCCCATAAATCTACATTTATTTCTCCAATTCCTCAATGCTTCTTGGACGTATATTTTAAAAGAGTGTCGGTGACAAACAGCATCCTTGCTTTAGGCCTTTAGTGACTTTAAATTCATTTGAGGTTCTGGTTCCAATTTTTACACAACTAACTGCATTTTCGTACAATTTATATATCGCTCGGATATACGTCGAATCCAATCCGGACCTTTTGAGGACCTCATACATTTTCTTTAACGGCACACTATCATATGCTTTCATATCATTCATTCATATCATATCATTTAATAATTTATTATTTTTTAAATTTTTTTTTAAATTTATACATTTGCGCCACCTGTTAGGAGATCTACGTTTTGTTGTAACTTTGTTACCATCTTTTTGCTAAGTTTATATTTATAGAAAAGGAATATGTCTTTCAGTGGCTGTAAATTTACCAAAAATTTTTGGTGAAACTTTTGGTTCTGCTCGGCTATTTTTGGTGGACTCTTTTCTCTATTGTTACTTGATCTAATGGTATATCAGGGTTGGCCTCCCTATATCCTTCAAGCTTTTTCTTAAAACGTTCTGTCCATTTTCTTGGTATTTCTGTTCTGTCAAGATATTACATTCTTTATCTGCACACTTCAGTGTTCTGGATTTCAATTTCTTTCTGCTTTTGTTCATTTGTTAGTAAAACATTCTTGCCTCTGTTGACTTACGTAGTTCTTGTAATTATTGACGCTCCTTGTTCATATTTTCTCTCTTTTTAGTGACTCCTGAACTTAAGTCACTCTATGTATTGATATGTATCCTAATAATTCCTATTGCTTTCATTTTAGGCAAATGATCCAAAAATTGATGCAGATCTCATCCCCAAAAGGACACGCACCTTTTCAAAAATTTTCGGAATAAATACTAGTTTTCTTGAGATCTTTTTCCTGGAAAGAAAAATTAAGGGACCTTGTTGGTTGGACATATCAAATCCAGTGCCAGTTACGAACCCCTTAAGTTGGTGTAAGTTCGAAGTGAACTGCTCGAAGATGGTGGATTTACAGGTGACAGTGACAGAAAAGCCACTGCCTCCACCTCCGCTGGTTGTAACTGCTATTAACATAAGAACTTGCATCAACAGAAAAACTTGTGGCCATGAAATCGTGATGGCTTCTTGCTTGACACATAAAAAATATGCCGTAGATATGCAGCCTCCAGATCCCCCGTTTCAACAACATTTCTGTGGTAAGTATTTACTTGCATATTTTAAATTTGTGATTTATGATTAAGTTAGCAATTAAATAAAAGTAAAATGTATTTTTAAATGTTTGACAGCATGCTGAAAAGTCAAAATTCTAATTAGATAGAAAATAATGTGGCAGAACCACCGCGTCCATATTCGCTACCAGAACAATCAAATAAACTGTTATATCCGAATAATCGCGGGGATATAATGTATCCTTAACTGATGACACGTTGAATATAACATCTGTCAGTATTGTATTGATGCCAACCATTGCTTTCTGCTTTCAATAAAAGTTTTCTGTAATACGCAGATTTCTACCATCGATTCTAGAGGTCCTTAATATGTTCAAAAGCGTTTCACTCTGTAATATATCGAAAGCTTTTTCATAAACAATGAAAGTCACAAATATTTTGTAACTTTAAGAGCTGAGTTGATAGTGAGGATCAACCAAGCTTACTCTCTGCTCTCTTAGACTAAAAGTAACCTAGATAAAAATTCATTCTCTACGATAATGAATGGAAATTTCGCTAAGTGGATTATTTTTTGTGTGTGACAGAGGGTAGTTACTCTTGTACGATCCCGTTATGAGATAGATCTACTTCAGGTATGCAACCCTGCCCACGCGAGCCATGGCTATCCCCCAACCCGTGCCGGGGTAAGTCATGTCACCAAAATAAATAAATCCTCTCACATATCCATTCCCAAGGAGTAAACCTCACACGAAAGAAAAATCATTGGGGAAGGCAACGGGAAACCTACCCTCAGTGTCGAGTGTCGTCACTCGACACTGAGGAGTAGGCAGATTGAGACCTCAGTGCCGAAAGACAGTTGGTGTATTTATAATACAGAACACGATACTGGTACGTTTCGAGTGAGCGGAGTAGGCAGATTGAGACCCCGAACTCGAACCGAACCGTATCCCTCTTGATAATGGCTCCAAAATGTTCCTGAGAATGGTTCCCTAGTGATTTTCATATATGTATATATAACATGAGGTGGGTTTCTTGACTTGTGCTTTAATTTTTTCTATTAGTTGTTTGATGCAGAAGATATTATCAGTACAGCTTCTTCCTTCTCGAAAACCGGATTGTTCTTCTTCCTCTTGGTTTTTGTACTCCTTCTCAATGCGGTCTCTAATTATTCGTCCATACAAACGGCTGAATGTACTAGTGACTGATATCCCTCTATAGTTTTCACATTTAAGCTTATCTCCTTTCTTATGGATCGACGAAATATAAGCAATTTTCCACTCGGGTACGGGACAACCATTTATACATTGATTTATGCACCGGAGACCTACCGTTTTTCAGTTCTTTTATAGTTTTTCTAATTTCTGTCATTTGTATTGTTATATCTTCTCCTTTGATATTAACCTTTGTTCATGATTGAGTTAAGTATTCGTCTCTATTTTCTGTCAGTAGTTCCCCATAGTACTTTCCACATTTTTGTGTGGATATTAATTGAATGTTTGTGCTCTTCCTTTCGTTATTTCTTATTTTACTGAGGAACTTCCATGTTTCCGTACATTTTCTGCCTCCCAGGTAGGTATTAATTTCCTGGCACTTCTTATCCCACATTTGTCTTTTTGCTTTTACTGTTGTTCTTCTTGTTATTCTTTTGAGTTCCAGGTATTCATCTCTATCTTTTTGTTGTTTACTGCTCAGCCATCTGATATACGCTTGCTTTTTTTCTGCTACAAGTGCTTCTGTTTCTTTGTTCCAGCATAGTTTTTCATTTTGTCTTTGAGTGTTAAAGCCGAGTGCTTCTTCTGCAGCTTTTTTAACGCCAACGACTACGTTTTTATATACCTCCTCTACTGTTGATGTTTCAGTTATATTAATTAGTTTGCCATCCAGTCTTTGTTGATATAGTACTCTTGTACTCTCTTGGGTCAAACTATCCAAATTATAACTTCTTTTTTACAAAGTTTCTTCTTGTTGGGGTTGACAATTTGTTTGATTATGTGTTATTTTATATCTAAATAGACAGGTTTACTTTTGATTTTACGACATAGTGATTTGAACCACATGTTATTCCTCTGTATGCATTTGTGTCCTGTACTTGCATATTAGTATTTTGTTTTATGATGACATAGTCTATAATGATTTTAGGATTTCTTGTAGTTTGGGTCCAGGTATACTTGTGCACATCTCTATGTTTAAAAAATCCATTGGTTATTTTTAATTGATGGTTTTCACATATTTCAATTAGCCTCGCACCATTATCATTCTGTTCAGGTCTCCCGTAACTACCAATTCGCTTCTATTTCCAATTTTCGTAATTTCGTCGTTAATTTTAACAAAGAAACTCATCTTTTGTTTATGTAAGGTTCATCATCACTGATTGCATAAATCCCAAGTATCGTAATAGGTGTTTTTTTCATCGTTAGGTTTACTCTTATTATATTTTCGTCTATTGCTTCAGTCAGTGATTTTATCTTTGTTTTTTTTTGTATTAGAACGAATACTCCTCTTTTTCGCTCTCTCTCGTGTTTTGAAACTCCGCTGAATATATGTACATAATTGTTTTATTTTTTCTATACCTATTCCTTTCTTCTCTGTTTCGGTTATGACAACTGTATCCATATCTACTTTTTTAATTTCTTCAGTTATTTCTCTCCATCTTTCCGCTGATACTCTGCACATTCCAGGTGCCAATGTTCATAATCCTTTTTCCGTCGCCGAAGTCAATCCGTCCGAGATTCCGAGTCAACCTTTAAGCTTTTTGGTATTTTTCTAAGTTTTACAAGTGACAGGGAATCGGCCTGACGTCTTAACCCCCTACCTGGAGGACCGGGTAATTTGTAATCAAGGTTTTCTTCCTTTAGACTAGTTGTCTTCCAGGACTATAGAGACTAGTCTTCCCTTAACTCGGTTCTTCCGCTTTCAGGACCATTGGATTTTTCTCGTCCACTCCGAGCAAATCTCGTTTGCTCCGTCCACCGTTGACCTTCGCCTGTAATCCTAGGCAAGAGCCCTTACAGGGTACTATCATCCGGGACAGATGAACCCTGGTTTTTTTTACGAGGTTGTTACCCCTCCCCCATCCTCCTTTATCCGGACTTGGGACCGGCAACATAACAGCTGAACTACTCAATTCACCCAGCCGTCATGCAGTCGGAGTTTATAGTTTTACTGACTATACAATACAAAATACAAGATCGGTGGTAGTTAATTAATACCAAAGTAATAATAAAGTAATAATAAAGTAATAACAAATTTAATAATAAAAATACTTAATTAATTAACTACACATTCAAATTGAACACACTTTTCGTATAACTGGTTATATAGATAAGTAATATCTCTTGTGTTAATAAGACAGATCTTTTAAGAGCTTAGATATTGTTCTAATAAGTATAGGAACCAGGTTTATTTAGTTAAAACATTACAGTCACACCTAATTTTAGGCAATTAATAATTTAAAGGTTTAACAATTGCTGTATAATGTCAGTTACATATTTGATTTTATTTTTCAGTGATTGCTGCTCCTGGTGATCAGACGTTACCTTTTGATATCCACGATGCCCTCAGTAAATACAAAGCAACAAAAGTACAAAAAATGGATTCGGAAAAAGGATTGTTGAACTTTTTTGTAAACCAATTCTCTTCTATTGATCCCGATTTGATAATAGGCCATGACTTGCAGGGCTACCAAATTAATATTTTAGCTGAAAGACTTTCCAAACTCAATACAAATATTTTCAATAAATTGGGTCGCTTGAAGAGATCGGAAAAGAAAAATTTGGAGAAAAGTCTTTTTGCTGGAAGATTAGTATGTGATATAAAAATATCAGCTAAGGAATTAATAAAATCACGTTCATACGATTTGGACTCGTTATGCCAAGTTGTTCTGAAACTTAACGAAAATCAAAGAATCGAATTAGAACCGGATGATGTACCAAAGATGTTTAAAACTACTTCAGATATTCTGAAATTGGTATCGTTTACCATGCAGGACACCATGTATATATTAAAAATCATGTATAATTTGAATGTTATTCCATTGGCGTTGCAGATAACCAATATAGCTGGTAATGTCATGTCTAAGACTTTGATGGGTGGAAGATCCGAACGAAATGAGTTTTTGTTGTTGCACGCCTTTTCTGAGAAAGGCTATATACCTCCAGATAAGGAGTATAAGAAGAAAGGAGATGGAAAGCAGAGTTCAAAAAAGAAACCTACATATGCAGGAGGTAAGGCAAACAATCAGTTAAAAATATTATATTTCATAACCAAGCATCATCATCATTGGCTCCACGATCCATGGTGGGTCTTGGCCTTCTCAAGGATAAGTCTCCATTCTCTGCTATTCTTTGCCTTGGTTTTCGTTTCGTACTCCCAACATTCTCAAGTCTTCCTAGAGATCATCATCTACGCCATAATCCGCCCTTCTTTACTCCTCCATAGATATGCCGAAGGATTTTATGTTCAAAGCATCTTAAACGTTCTTCATCGCTCTTTGTCATCGTCCATATTTCCGACGTGTAGGTGAGAATGGGCTTGATAAGAGTTTCTGTATATCAGTTTCATTCTTTTTGTTATTTTTTGAAGTTATACTTCTATACACACGGTCGGCGTTGGAAATTTGCACGGGAGTGAATCTGTGAAACCATTACATATGTAATATAATGAGTAAGAGAGAGACAGGAGATATATTTTCTCTCTCTTCCTCTCTCGAGAATAAAAATGTTCCTTTTGTATATATGTATATTTAATATTATATATATATAATATATATATATATATATATATATATATATATATATACATATATAGTTTAATATATTAATATTATTATTTATGTGATTTGTTTTGTATTATTTATTAAATGTTCATAATTATTTTAGGCTTTTGTATTTCAAAATAATCACTGTATGACAGACAACTGTCAATTTTGAAATCCGTTAGTATCATGTCTAATTGGTAAATTTTTTACGTGTTTGGTTCATACGCTGGTGTACGTGAGTTCGAATCCCAATATGAATTTCCTTTTTTATTTTTGAAATCTTTAAAAACCTCACGTTAATGTTATTAAATATATGTAATATACGCAAAAATGCTAATGTTTAAAATAAAATGAAAATTTACAACATAATCCGAGTTATCGGTTTTTTATTTTTATCTTCGTAAAGTAAGTTATGTATATTGGCAGTTTTAAATACTTATGAATATTGCATTTTAATTTGTATTGTATTGTTATATTGAATTATGTTGCAGTATATTGTATTGTAATTTTTATATTATTAACAAAATAAACAATGAATTTTACTGCAGAGTATTGTAAAAAAATTTGCATTCAATTCCTTTTATATATGACAATAAAAATATATATTTTCATTAAAATATTGATACAATCCTTCATTTACTATACTCCTATTACAGGTCAAATGTTTATATACAGCAAACGATGCACCATATACCTATATAACTAATTCTTTTTCTCTTTCTGCTCTCTCTTACCTATAGCATTACATATGTAATGATTGTGCAGATTGACTTCCATATAAATTTGTAACGGCGAACACGTGTATAGAAGTATAACTTCTACCGGCAGTGCCACTAGACTGCCACACCCGTTTTTTTAATCCATAATAGGCTTCAATAGGCTCTTTTTCTTTTGGCATCATAACCCTGGATGGGTTTTGGCTTGTCTGGATATGTCCTTTCTTTCAGATCTTCTTTGGCCCTTCTCCTCCATTATCTTATATTCATGGTTTTCAGGTCGTCGTTTACGTCATCCAAACATCTCGTCCTGGGCCTTCCTTTTTACCGCCTTTCTACCGGCTTCCACTGTAACATCTTCTTTGTCGTTTTCGTGACTTCTTGTCGCCGAACATGTCCGAGCCATGACAGTCTTTGACTTTTCACAAATCTTACAATGTAATTTTATTCAGTGTTGATCCAAATATTCTTATAAAAATGTATTATAAATATTTATTTTTTTAGTTTGGTTTTGGATCCCAAAGTCGGATTTTACGACAACCTTATTCTCCTAATGGACTTCAATTCTCTATACCCCAGCATCATTCAGGAATACAACATTTGTTTTACTACATTACCGGTAAGCGACAGCGACGAAAACCTCTTCTTACCAGACAGCAACCTACCTCCGGGAGTTTTACCCACAGAGATTAGAAAACTCGTCGAAAGCCGGCGTCAAGTCAAAGGAATGATGAAAAAACCAGATCTATCTGTTGATCTACGAATGCAGTACGACATTCGACAGATGGCTTTAAAGTTAACAGCTAACAGTATGTACGGATGTCTGGGATTTTCAAATTCTAGGTTCTATGCCAAAAATTTGGCTGCGCTAGTAACGCAGAAAGGTAGAGAAATATTGACAAATACTAGGGATATGATCGAGAAGATGAATTTTAATGTTGTTTATGGTGATACTGACAGTATTATGATTAATACCAATATTTTGGAATACGATCAGGTAATTATGTTTGTCTTATTTCACTTTATCTTTATCATTATATTTATCATTATAAAATGTAATTTTCATTAGGTACAATCATTTGTGGCATTATCATTTAAAACATTTTCAATTATTTGGTATTTATATTACTTTTATTATATTTTTGCAGGTATTTAAAATTGGTGTCAAAATTAAACAAGAAGTAAACAAATTATATAAACAAGTAGAACTCGATATAGATGGCGTATTTAAATATTTACTGCTTTTAAAAAAGAAAAAGTATGCTGCAGTAACATTGAATAAAGACAAAAGCGGAAAATTGGTTGCCGTCAAAGAATATAAAGGTTTGGATATTGTTCGAAGAGATTGGTCCCAAATATCTTCTGAAGCTGGAAAATATATATTGAATCAGATTTTGAGCGATCAATCCGCCGATGAAAGAATAGAGCATATTCGTGAATATCTAAGAAAAATTCGTGAACATTTAACTGAGGGTAAGCTTTGTTACTGAAATACTTTCAACAGCTTTTCAAATTTGCTGTAGTTGATTTATAACAAATTTTTCATTTGCAAAAATTGCATACAGCCTTCTCACTGTTAATGTCTTTCTCAAAGCGATGCCATAAAATACTAACATCTTTACACGCAGACATGTTAAAGACACAATTAGTTAATAAAGTAAATATTTAGTACTCACACTCACAGAATAAATTCACATTGACGTTAGACAAAACAGTGAATAATAAACAGTGAATATAAAACGTGAATCGGGACTCCCATGTGTTAAGGCTTATCCTCGATAATTGTAACGGTAAAATTCAGAGAGATGTCTATTTCAAAAATATCTTTCTTTACAAAAACAAAATCCATTCACGAAGAATATTCTAAACGTCATCTTGTACTAGAGGTAAGCTTTATACCTACCTTATACAACCCCCTATTGTGTAAAGTCTTGGGTCTATACAATAAACGACTGGGCGGCCTTCTATTCAGTGTGGTTTTGAAATAATGTTGAATAAAAACATTCATGAAATTAAAATGAAAGAATTTACGTCTATTAGTAGAAGTGCGATTTATAAAATTAGTACTTGAAGCATAAATCGCGGGAGGAATATGTGCATCAGTTTTCAAATATTTATTATTTACTATATAATTTCTAAATTGAACCACTTTCACTTCTTTAGTTAACAATGTATCTGTTTTGACAACTAAATAGGTAATTAGACAAAATAATTATTAATTTCAAAACAGGAGTTTAAAGAATTAGAAAGAGGTAGCCCGGCCCAGTTAAATGGTCAAGCTTATTCCAGTGGAAGCAATAAGGAGGATTATTTTTCGTTTTGCACAGCTGACATGCTCTCTCTAGTACTACAACCCATGAAACTGTGGTAAAAAGCATGCTTTATTTATACGGTTGTGAAACACGACGATTAACAGAGACAGATTAATATCGAAGAAAGATATCTCGTCGAACTTAATGCAATAAAGTATGAGAATAGAAGGTACAGTCATGGATGGCATACAACGAAAGCAGCTCAAATGGGTACAGGTCCAATAAATGAAAGACAAGAGACTCCTAAAACAAGTACCTGTATGAACACCTACCGTAATCCAGAAGAGAGGATTACCTTAGAAAACACGGATGGAAGGAATAAGAAACTTAATGAGCTCGAAAGAACTTAAAGAACAATGGAACAACCGAATTGAATGAAAAATGAACGTCGGAAGACATTTTATAAGGATTATATCATATTATAGGTACATTTTTTGGACTAAAAATAAATTTGAAGAAAACCAAGTTCATGGTATTTACAAAAGCACAAAGCATCAAAGTTAAGCTAGTACTAGATAATACAGAAATTGAACAAATATCTTTGTACAAATACCTTGGAGCATGGATCACAGAAGATACTGATTAGACAAAAGAAATAAGATGCCGCATTGGAATTGCACGGTCAACTTTTAATAGAACGAGAAAACTTTTTGTAATCGAGATATCAATATATCGCTCCGGATAAGAATGCTTTGATGTTATATTTTCTTTACCCTTTTATATGGGATTCAAGCTTGGTCACGGATCGCAAAACAACCGAACAAGTTCTCGAACAACTAGGAAAACAATGCGAAGTTTTAAATTCCATAAAAATCAGGAAATTAGAATACTTGGGGCACATCATACATCACACATCAAGACGTAAAATCTAGTGGTTACGTAATCTCCGTGAATGGTTTGGATGCAATTCAACTGAACTATTCAGGCGCATATCCAACAAAATGATAATTGCCAGAATGATTTCCAATCTCCGATAGGAGTGGAACTTGAAGAAGAAGAATAAGTACATTATTATTATATCATATTATATATATATATATATATATATATATATATATATATATATATATATTTATATAATATATGATATAAACGATATTGAAAGAGGTTACAACATAGACAATCAACAAAATCTACATCGACAACTACACAGTGAACACCCAACAATAATAGAAGTGTCAAATGCCGTCCTAAAACTCAAAGACAATAAAGCCACAGGAATCGATTAAATCTGTTGGAAAATATATAAAAAAAGGTGATGATCAGCTTTTTGCAGTAACCCATAAACTAATAGTACTTATATGGCAAAATGAATTTGTTCCAGAAGAGTGGCTAAATGAAATAATATACGTTGCATAAAAAGGACGATTAACTGATTGTAAGAACTATAGAGGCATACCTGTAGCATCTCACTGTTAGCACCCTGCTTGGCAGGGCACATATCAGATCAATTTACGGTTGCAAAAGGCTTGAGACTGGAGATCCTTTATCCACTACATTATTCAAATTAGTATTAGAAACTGTAATCAGAAAATGCAGCATGAAGATGGAAGAAACGATCATGAAAAATGAGCACCAGTGCTTGGCATTTGCTGATGATCTAACGATCGTAGCAAAAACCGAGTAAGAATTAAGAAGAGTTGTGAAGAAAATCATCGAAGAAGCACAGAAATTTGGATTGGAACTAAATGAAGACAAAACTAAATATATGATCATAGAAGGAACAGAAGGGAAAAAATAAACTTTAGTATGAGGTCAGTAATGGTAAAAGCTATAGTTTTAAAAGGGTGGACAAATTTGAATACCTAGTGTAGTTTTCGATGAAAATGGAAAAGATAAATGGGAGCTCGTAGCCAGAATAGCAAAAGGAATAAAAAATTAGTGGTTTAAGAGCCCTACTGAACTCAAAATACGTTTCTAGACAAGGTAAACTCAGAATATATAAAACATAATTCGACCCACAGTAACATATGCCGTGAGCCTGGACATTAAATAAGAAGGAAGAGGATACTCTGGAAAGATGGAAAGGAAAATATTGAGATGCATAATTCAGAGGACGAAAGGCAGAAGATGGTTGGGAAAGAAGAACCAACAATGAATTAATGGCTTTATACAAAGAACCTACTATTACCAAGTTCGTCAAAGAAAACCAAAAAAATCACAACCAATAGAGAAGCGTAATGTGAAAAAATATTGTACACCAGGTCCTTCAAAGTAGTTAAGAATGTTATATATACATATTTACGTTAAAGTTTTGTTTAAAATAATTGTAATTAGTTAATATTAGAATTATGTTGTAAAAAAAATGCTTTAGGCCTTAACGGCCTATTGTGCGTAAAAATAAATAAATAAATAATAGAGTGCAAAAATCGAAAGAATCGCGTTTTTTGCATTAATTGTTAGTCATTAAAAAACGGCTCCGAACTTTACACAGGAAACAGGTAGGTTTTCTTCTTATAGGTCTACAATAACTAAAAAAGTTGTCAGCTACCTGGATTATTGAGTGTCACGAGAAAATCCTTATTAGCCTGACTAATATGGCTGGACAAGCAAGTGAAGAAACAAACTTCATATATTATGTAAACTTTACTAACAAAAACGTTGAAAATAAATATTCCTATAAATATAAATAATCAAATTCCATATTCAAATACAGCAAAATATTTGGGTATTGTCCAATAAATATAAATAATCAAATTCCGTATTCAAATACTGCAAAATATTTGAGTATTACTCTAAGCTTTTATGTAAAGAAGAAAAGAAAATAATAATTCTGATTGAAATACAAAAAAATGTACTGGCTGATTGACCAAAATTCTACGCTGTTTCTACATAATAAATTATTATATAAGCAAATACTGAAACAATAGTATTATTATAAAAACAGTATAAACATTTAGAAGGAAAATGTTACAAATTAACAGAAAATATTTCTATTCATATAAAAATTTAATCAAATTATAGGTACTTATTATAGGTACTGCTTATTTATATAAAATTTCCTCAATCGGAACATAAACTTCTTCGTGAACTACCCATTTTAAAAACAATTAACACACTGGTTTGTCAAAAGTCGAAATAAACCCTAATAATGTTATTCAACATTATTTATGACCCACCTTCGAGAGGGTATTATACTTCTTACCTAACCAACCTAACCGTGTCGACGAGAATCCAGAAACTATCGACAAGGACAGCCTGTACTGGCCGAGAGAGAAAGTTACATTTAGCAAAATTTGAGATTTTAAAAAAAGTTTATACCAAATAGCTGCTTTGTGTTACACTTTATTGTTAAAAATAAAAACAGATTCGGAAAGTGGGTCAAATTCTGTAGTGCCCTATTTCAAAAAAAAATTTTTTACGTTTATTTTAACCAAAAATATTTGAAAAAAAAATATTGTTTAAACAATTTATTAATTTACAACTAAATAGTGCACTAGAACTTTTTAAGACCTTTCATATAAAAAAAGAATCATCTCAATATCTGCCATAGTTTTTGCGTTATTTGATATAAACTTTTACATTGGAACTTAGGTATGCCCAGAAACGCAAGGAACGGCCTTAATATTTCAAATTAAAAATAATCGATCATTGCAAAATTCAGAAAGTCGAGCATAAAAGCTACATCTTCTACAAATGTGCATTTTTTAAAAATACAATTATTACGCTTGTACTAGGTAAATTATTTTAACTAAGAAAAAATACTTCTTAATTGAATATTTACAATAAATAAATCCTTTAACGAACTATCAATAAAGATTTCAGCTTCAGAATAACATCAACTAGTTGGCTTCCCAGTGAGAAACTGTATATTTGTTAACGACAAATAAACGGTTGAATAAAACAGTTCGGTGATTCAACGCTCATCTCTACAAAACAGAAATAGTTCTGTGATATGTCATGCGTATATTACGGTAGTAAGGTGTTCTTTCATAAAGCATAATAAATAAACACACAGTCAATAGGTCAGTAGTAGTAAATCATTAAGAAGGAGCAGGTGTATTGTATTAAATTTAAACTTGTTTTAAAATTTGGTATTTTTCTAATAATATCTTTGAAACTATATTTTCGTTTAGATTTTATGTGTGAAAATAAGAGTTAGTTCTATAAAAATGAAACAAAAAAAGATAAAATTAGTAAAAAAAAATTGTTACATAAAATCAAATAAAAAATAATTCCAACATTACTGTTTAAATTTAAAATAACTCTAAACAATTAGAAATTTGAAACCAAATTCTTAGGTAATTAAATGTTCAAAACATACCACCCAAATTGTAACAAACAGTAACCAAATCTATTATACAAAGCATCCTCATGGCGTTGAGTTTCATCTGCCGATATGTTTTGGCTAATATGGATTATCTTTTCGTTTAGTTCCTCATGCCTGTACAATTTTGTTTTTAGCATCCCCCAAAAATAAAAATCTAGAGAAGCTAACTCGGGTGACCGAGGGGCCATTTTATTGTACCGTCTGTACTAATGACACGTTCAGCAAAAATTAACGATAAATAGTCTTCAACGACCTTTGCATTATGTGCAGGACAGCCGTCTTGTTAAAACCAAATTTCGTTGAAGTTAATAAATTGCCTTAAATGAAAAAGGACCAAATTCCAGTTCAAACATTCAATTTTTGTGGATACTGCGTACGCACATAAAAAATTATTATTTGCATGGCATCTCTCCATCATAATTTTCACAAAATTGCATCCGTTTAAATTTTTCATCAGGAAATATTTCTTGAATTGTCTGCACTTTATAACAATGGTAGTTGTTTCTTTTCAAAATATTCCTCACTGTTTATGCATTCAAATCAACTTCATCGACAATTTGTTTACTTACGGCGTCGCATCAGCCAATGCACAAACTTGAATTTCTCTAATTTATCGTTCTTGAGAAATTTTCTTTTCGCGAGGTTGATCTGATGGGCAACATTTTTTACATCTGCCATTAGTACAGCCAAACTTTTCAAATTGGTCAATAATGGCTAATACAGTTTTTTCTATAGGTATTGGCCTATTTGGCCAATACACAAAAAAGAAAACAAAAAGCAATGTATTAACTACAGGGGAATTAACACTCCTAAACACCACCTACAAAATCCTTGCAAACATCCTGCTAGAAAGAACCAAAACATACACAGAAGAAATTGTTGGAGATTATCAATGCGGATTTAGACCGGGCCGCTTACAATTGACCAGATATTCACAATAAAACAGATAATGGAAAAATGCTGGGAGTTTGATCGTGAGCTTCATCAGATGTTCATAGATTTTAAACAAGCATTTGATAGAGTATGTAGGGACAGACTGTGGGCAGCGATGCAGGAACTTGGCTTTCCAAAAAAACTAGTCCGGTTGATACGGATGTGTATGGAACGGTTACGATGTAAGGTGAGAGTTGGACAACAATACTCGGAGACATTTGAAATAAACAATGGACTAAAACAGGGAGATGCACTTTCACCACAACTCTTCAACTTAGCTCTGGAGCACATAATCAGAAGTGCAAGAATCGAAAAACCGAATACAGTATTTCATCGAGAAGGACCAAACTTACTACTGGCATTTGCAGACGATATAGATCTAATAGGAAACACGCGATTAAGGATGAAGGAGACTTTCGTAAGGTTTGAGAAGGAAGCAGAGAAGATGGGGCTCCAAATCAACGAAAACAAGAAGATATATATGTATATGAGCCGCAATAACCAAAGCAGAGACAGAATCGGTCAGAACATTACCATCGATGACTTTAACTTTGAGCGCGATTAGGGAATTCAAGTATCTTGGAACAACAATAACTGAAGACAATAACGGATCACAAGAAATAAACAACAGGATTCAGGCCGGCAACAGATGTATTTTTGCCTCCAAAACCTTATAGAATCAAAACAACTAACACGACGTACGAAGATACAGGTCTATAAAACAATCATACGACCCGTTGTGATGTATGGAAGCGAAACGTGGACGATGACAAAGGCAAATGAAGAGAGACTACGTGTTTGGGAAAGAAAAATCCTAAGAAAGATCTTTGGTCCGGTGCTTGATGAAACATCAGGACAATATAGGATAAGAACTAATAAAGAGCTTGAAGAACTTTACCCAGACGCCAACATCATAAAAGAAATAAAGTCCAGAAGACTCCAATGGGCAGGACACCTCAGAAGACATTCTGACGAACGAACAGTAAGACTGGTGTGGCAGGAAGTCCCAACTGGAAGGAGACCACGCGGACGCCCTCCGGTGGCGAGATAATATAGCAGGAGACCTAAGCACTATGGGCGTGGAGAATTGGATGGAGGTTGCTCAAGACAGAAAACAGTGGAGGCATGTTGTCGAGTCGGCTAAAACCCACCAAGGGTTGTAACGCCAAGAGTAAGAGTATTGGCCTATTTTCAAAAGCCATAATAAATAAATGATAGTTTTCTGTACTGAATTGCCCCAAAGTACCATTTTATTATTTGTACCCGTTCTTCTTTTGTATAAACAGTCGGCATATTTATTTCTTATCTTACTTCTTCATTTAGCAGCATAGCTGTCGGCCTGTCCACAGCCACCTTTACTTCCAAGCCATGAAGTAAAAAAGGCAACACCGCATTCTATGACGTCGGTAGTCCGATAATCAGCTGTGAGGTCTACCAGAAAATTAAAATAATTTGAACTTTAGGAAACTGATATTTTGAAAACTTCAATTCATTACAGAAATATTTTTAGGGAAATTAAATTATTAAAACCTTATATATACCTAATAAATATATATAAAGTTTTATTAATTATTAAGGTTATATTATCAATAAAATAATCATTAGAGTAAAATTTATTGAACTTAAAATACAGTGTCAAACAGTTAATCTTACAATCAAATGCAGTCAAGAATCTCTAGAAATTTTAAATATTAAGTATTTAAGCATATAAATAACACAATACATAAACACGACATTTAAAAAGATTATTAAAAATACAAAAGATATAAAATTGTTAAGTAAAAACTTAGTAAAAAAATAGTAGTGTAACTATTATGATGAAAAAATTCATCCTAAGAAATCAGACACAATATAAATATGGTTCTAAATTAATCTAATTCAAAATTAAATATTTTACTATTTACTTATAACTTTTGTTGAATTTTTATGCTTAGGTATACGAAAGTAGCAATTTTAAATATGAATAGGTTTTTGTCATATAGACCAAGTTAAAAGGGTTGAACACATGAAAAATGTGTTGAATGTAACATACCATTTATAACTTCTATATGGATTTAAAATAGCCTATATTCTCAAAAGATTTTTGAATGTAATACTCAAATTTTATTATCACTTATCTAAAAAGCAGATCTATATCGAGAAAGTAAGTTCTCTAATTGTGACCATCTTGTTAATTTACTATATTGTAAAATCCATTTCAAATCATTACTACTTAATCTATTCTTACCTACATTGACGATTACACTAAAATTACTGCTAACTATTGCACTACTTATTACACAAATATTATCACACTAGTGTCTCAACTGATTATTGTTTAATACATAGAAATATACACTGTCACTTGTAATTTTACTTGTCCAGTTTTTCAATGGGATATTATTGTCTAAGTCTCTTAAAAATGATTCAAATGAATCTATTAAATCATTGTCTAAGAATTCTGTTATCTCTTGTTCCCTCTTCTTATGCAAAAAGTTTCTTCTGTCTTCGGGATTCCTTCTTTCTTTAGTACGATGAACAGTTACATATAGTGGTACTTCAGGAAATATATTAGGAACTGCATTGTCTTTTAATTTGCATTGAATAGAGCATAACCCAGTATACCTTCTTTGGGGATCTTTGAGAAACGAAAACGTACTTTCTACCCTTTCGTTTTTAAAGTACTAGCATAATTGGTTTTGCAACCAGGTACACAACAATGCCAGGGCATCTGTAACAAAAAACAAAAGTATTATTAATGTTGTTTTTAGTTTACACATTTTGTAACAAGAAGCAAAATTATTATTATTTTTAGTTTGTTTTGTAGGTTATATTTATACTTGCCTTTTAAATTGTCATTAAGAATCTTCTAAAAGTTCTAAACTTAATGAAATTTCACTTATATTAATATTTTCTAATTGATTTAAACATAATTTACAAATAAAACATTCGAATAAAGTTAAAAAAACACTAAATTCAACAAACTTTACAAGCCTTCCTATATGAAATGTTAAACAAAACAAACCACGGTCGGACTACCACGCGTTGTTGCCAAATTTCTACTTCATGGCTTGGAAGTAAAGGTGGCTGTGGCCTGTCTCGTCTCGACGAATGGCGATGTTGCCAAAATTATCTTATATTATTCAAAATTGGGTTACAATTTCGTCAATTAAAAATGCGAATCTGTAAATTTTTTTGGATTTTAGAAATTTTGGACCAGTATTTGTGTCAATTAATGTTTCATTTTTAATATCATCATTAAGTTTTGAATGGAAATATAACCGCACCACTGATCGCCAAATTTTTAAATCAATTCAATGTTTTAATTCAAATATGTAATAAGGCAACCCTGCCGCCGTTTCTTACGTATAAGCTAAGCTGGATCCGAAATAATCGTATGACGTTTCTAAATGGGCGTGTCTAAAAATGTAGAGGGGAGACCAAGGGGAAATATATTTGTTTTCTTTGTCTATTCGCTGAAAATATGATTTTATATCTGTGTTAGATATCCTGTTAAATTCTAACATACCGACCATAAACTTTTACCTATACTGTATAAGTCAAAACTCTTTCCGTCTCCGTCGTACATTTCTGTTATTAAAACACCAATCGATGTTCTGAGATTTTTACTTTAAAGTATTACTATTTTGGGAATAAGCCACAATTAAAGTTAAGTACGTATATCAACGTTTCAATTTCCACTTCGGAAATCGTTCTCAAAATACAAACATTAGTCATTATTAATATAATACATTAATGTTTGTATTTTGAGAACGATTTCCGAAGTGGAAATTGAAACGTCAATATACGTACTTTTTAATTGTGGCTTATTCCCATGTAAATAGTAATTAACCTAAGTAGATTGTTTATATAATAGTTATATTTATCTTTAAGGCAAAGTACCCACTCCGTTATTAATAATTACCAAACAGTTAACGAAGGAGCCCCATATGTATCCTGACAAAAATTCTCTGCCACACGTACAAGTCGCTCTTCGTTACAATCAGAAAAGCGGAGGGCATTTTAGGGCTGGAGACACCGTACCTTATATAATTTGTGAAGATGGAACCACCAATAGCGCCGTACAAAGAGCCTACCACGTAGATGAACTAAAAAGTAATTCTGATCTCAAAGTTGATATTATGTATTATTTAGGTATGTATAAAAATATTTTTTGTTTTATTGACATTGACATATTGACATTGACATATAATTGACATAAGCTAAAGTCTGTAAAAGAATTACGCAGAGAATCAATAAAATTAAGTAATTTTATAGCCGTACTAAACTTATTATCCAGATTTAAGCCATATGGTTCCCAGTCATTCTAGGGGAAAAATTCACTAATTCCATATATGTATAGTAGTAAAAGGATGGAAGGTCTGGTGGTAACTTGTCCTGATGAACACGCGCTGATTTTCCACTGAATCACCACTATACAAACCAGAAAACTGGAATACCTAGACCACGTGATGAAGGGACCCAAAATATGAAATTTTCAGACTCATAATACACGGAAAGATTCAAGGAAGATCTGTTGGTCGAAGGCAGAACTCATGGTTGAAGAATCTACGTGATTGGTATCAATGCAGATCGATTGATTTGTTTAGAGCAACACGTTCAAAAATAAAAATAGCCATTATGATTGCCAACCTCCGTAGGGAGACGGCACTCTAAGAAGATATACATTGGTAGGACCAGGATCTTTGCCATCTTTTAGTTGTGATATTCTATTTCTACTTCATCTGATGTGATTAGTAAGTGTTCATTACATAAAATATATAGGACGTATGTTGTTCGGACTTATTATCATCAAAGAGTTCTTGTATGTATTTAGTATTTCGGTTCGTATTTGCCTCTGTATATTTTTGTATATTCTTTGATTTTCTTCTTTCTTCCATGAGTTGCAGTATATCGTCATTCATCCAATTTTTCCTCTTCTCCTTCTTTTCTATTAGATGTTTTTCTCTGATCTTGTTAAAGCTTTCCTGTATATTCTGGAGTGATTCTTGTGGATTAAATGTTTGTTCCATGTTCGTTAGCTTTTCTGAAAGAATCCGTGCGAATCTGTCTCTTGTTTCTTTATCTTTAGTCTTCTCATATCACATTTTTTGTTACTATTCTTGTTCTCGTTGTAGTTAAAATACAGATTATTGTTGCCACATCAATCAGGTATCGCCACATCAGTGAATATTGTTTTTATAGTTACTTTATTAATTATAAGATCTGGTTTATAATGTGCAATTTGTTGGTCTATGAGACAGTGTGATTCCATTTTACCTTGTTGTTGTCATTTTCAAGCATATCTTGTCATGACATATTGACAATATGGGAGATGGTTGGTTTGGAGAAGTCCCAGTTTTTCAGCTATCTCTTGATGAATAATCTTTTCTGCTGAGTCATGCCGTTCTTTATATTAAGTTGCAACAAATGCCTGGAAGGCCCCGGTAATATGTTAGATATTTTTTTGGGCTTCACATCCATATTGGTATTTGCCGTTTTGGACTAAGACCTTTGACGATATATTTCAGGTAGTTTTTGGTTGGAATAACTTGATTCTGAATGGCGAGTATGGAAGTTTCTGTTTCAAGGAACATCTTTCGTATTGTCAACAAATAGTTCGACTGTTGGTGATATCAGTAACCAATATATAAAGGCACAGTAGTGTTTCCCGTTAAGGGTCTAAGTTTATTTTATAATAATAAAAAGACGCTTTTAATGCGTCTATTACGAGTGAACTAGGAATTAAAGTTAACTTTAAATTTCGTGACACACTCTAGATATTTTTGGATACTTGATAATTTATTTCTTCTGCGTAATTTATTTTTAGACTTGAAATGTAACTTGCATTACAATCTGTTTTTTCCATGTTTAGGTCAGCAAATACACCCCGTAGTATCGCGAATCTGCGAACCTATTGAAGGAATAGATTCTTATGAGATAGCGGAATGCTTAGGATTAGATACAAAAAACATAAAAAGACCTAGGCAGGCAGTAAACGAACTTATTGGGGAAAATATTAGCAGACCCGAAATCAAGTTTAGAAACGTGGACAAGTTTAAGTTTATTTGCTTTGGCTGTAGACAGGAAAATATTGTTGAGGGAGCATTGGTAGGTATTATCACATAATTAAAATTTCCCTTGTCGTATTACAACTGGTTTGAGTGAGAATTCATAGCAGTTCTTGTGAGGCAAAAGTGTCCCAAAAGTAATGCTTCATTTGAAAGCTCCTCTCAAGCTCTTTTACAAGTTTCTACAAAATTACTAGTTTCAGCTTGAAAATCACACACTATTCATTTTTGTTATAAACAGTCGTCCCGTTTTTTCTTCTGAACAATAAAACAAATTAATTATTTATTTAATAATTGCGTCACTCAATCCATGTAAAACTATACCTTAATTTAGTTGCCCAGAAATACGAGTCCTAACAACTATATCTAAAAGACATTAGCTTGGACGGCAGAGATGTTCGAATAATTGCAAATTTATATTGGAATCAAACAACATCAGTTTTGGTAGATAATGTGGCTCTCAGGCTCTCAATATTAAAAGAGGAGTACGGCAAGGATGCCTCTTGTCACCCCTGCTTTTTAACGTTTACTCAGAAAGAATTTTCAGAAAAGCACTTTCTGAAAAACAAGAAGGAATACTTGTGAACGGCGAAGTCATCAATAATTTGCGATATGCGGAAGATACAGTACTCCTAGCTTCTAGTTAAGAAGATCTGCAGACACTACTTGATAGTGTCGTTGAGAGTTGTAGGGAGGCAGGTCTGGATCTTAACATACGGAAAACCAAAATACTCGTAATAAGTAAACAACGGCATATAAAACCGTCTATATATGTAAATAATACCAAACTTGAGAAAGTTGATAAAATCGTTTATCTTGGACAGCAATTAAATTGTAACGCAAAAAGTCACGGCGAAATTGGATCTAGGATAGAGCAGGCTAGAGCTGCTTTTAGAAGGATGTCCAAGGTGTTATGTAACAGAGACCTCAAATTGGCATTGAGCATCTGCCTACTTCGCTGCTACGTATTCTCGGTCTTACTTTATGGTGTCGAGCCTTGGACTGTGAATAAAATCGATCTAAATCGCCTTGAGGCTTTCGAAATGTGGTGCTATAGAAGAATTTTAAAAGTTTCCTGGGTGGAGAAGATTCGAAACTCTACAATACTAGAACGTCTCAGCAAGACTACTGAGATCATAAAAAGTATCAAGCAGAGAAAGCTGGAATATTTAAGACATGTAATGAGAGGTCTCAAATATAGGTTGCTACAAAATATCATGCAAGGAAAAAATAGCAGGCAAACGAAGTCCATGGCGAAGAAGAACCTCATGGTTGAAGAACTTGCGAGATTGGTATGATGTTGATACAAGCATGCTATTTAGGTAACCAACGTTCTGAAAGGACATGGTACGTGAAGAACAACTATATAATGTTACAAACTAAATACATGCAAAATTCAGATAGTTGACAGTTTATTTTTTTCTAACCATGTATTGTATTGTCATACTGTGTAATTAGTTAATTAGTAGTAAAATGACCGTATGGTAGTCCGCTTCATCCTGTTGAAAAATATAATTCCTACCAGCATTTAAGTTCAAAATACTTGGTAGTATACTATTTGAGGTATTTGTCCATATTTAGCAGCATTTACGGTACCCTTAATAAATTAAAAACATCCTAACCCTGAAACCGTCATAAAACCCAAAATTATCACTCATTTAAGAAATTTTACGGTCCATTTCAAACAGCTTTTGTAAAAAGCCTCACGCTTAGTGCGGTAATCATCAACATATACGACGAATTTTGATTCTATACTAAAAATTACTCGGTACCACTCTTCTTACGGACTAAGTTTAATTTTGACCAAATGAGCCTGGTTTACATTTGTTTTGCTGTTAACAGTGCTTTTCCTTTGCCCACAAGTAAATATACAATATATTAACTACCAGTACACTTTCAGTTGTTACCTGTAATTCAACCTTACGACATTTTAATCCAGATTTATGTTTCCACTTGTGACAGTATCCTCTTGACAGATTTAATCCAGTTGCTTGATTCAATTCAGCTGTAACTTGGCTTAGAGTATTTCTTCGATCTTTTTTGCAAACTTTTACTATGAGAAACTAGTTTTGGACGACAAGGGCTTTTACCTTTTTTTTATCTAAGATACTTCATGTTTCCTCATATAACCTCATTAAATTAAAATTAAATTTCTTAAACACAAAGAAACATTGTGAGTTTAAGTTTCTTATTATGGAAAATACTGTTTTTCGGTAAAATATATTTATTTTTATGCAACATCTTCTCGGTCAAGTTTGATAAAATATAATTTATTATACTTTTATCATATATTAATAATATCTAATTGTTAATAATATTTATGTCTGTAGGTAGGAAACTCACCTTTCCTGGAACGGTGTCGCAACTCGGATTGCAGTCTAAAACCAATAGATTACTTACCTTTCATACAAAACCAATTGGCCCTTTCGATCCAATCATACATTAATAAGTACTACGAAAATATCTTAATATGCGAAGATCCCGCATGTACAAACGAAACAAACCGTCTTCCTCTTAAATTTGCCAGGAAATACCCAATTTGTACATTATGTCAGAAGGGAGTCATGTTCAGGGTATATAACGAGCAGCAATTATACACCCAGTTATCTTATTTCCAGCACATATTTGATTTGAGCAAACTGAGTAAAAGTAAGTATCATTTTAATATACATGTCATATGGTCTAACAATAAAATATTTACCTTTTTGGTACAGTTCAAATTAAGGAAACGTATTAAATCTTAAACTTCTCATAGTAAACATCAATTACAGTTGTTTTGTAGCGTATTTTACAGTATTGTGCGAATTAATGGAATCACTGTGAATTTTTTTTCATTTTTTCAATATTCACAGTTGGCAACACTACCTACACAGTTGACAGCTGACCAAGCATTGAAAACATAACCTTACTGTGTGTTGGTGTGTTTGAGTGTGTTTTAGGTCATTTCTTACCAAGCTTGTGTTGTTTTGAGGGTTTTTGTACTATTTTGTGTTGTTTTTGGTTTTATTCCAACATGGATATTACGCCTAGGAAGCGTGAAAAGATTGTCACGTTGAGTGAACACACTAGTATGTCACAAAGAGAGATTGCTAGAACGTGTGGAGTGAGTCAGGGGGTAGTAAGCAAAATTTTGAAGCGTAAACGAGAAACGGGATCAGTGGATGTGAAAAGGTTAGGAAAATGTGGAAGAAAGAGAAAAACAACACCAGCAGATGATAGATTTTTACTTCGAAAGAGCAAATTGGACCCAAGAAAATCAAGCCAAGACCTACAACAAGATCTAGCAGCATCAGCTATAGTGATTCATGACTCAACTGTTCGTAGAAGACTTTTGGAGAATGGTAGAAGGGCAATTCGTCCACAGAAAAAAACAGCTTCTAACTGAACGAATGAAGAAACAAAGGCTACTGTGGGCCAAAAAATACTCTAATTGGACTGTAGGCGACTGGAAAAAAGTCCTATTTACAGATGAAACCCACTTTATAGTTCAGGGACAGCGGTCGAAATTCGTCAGGAAGTCTGACAATGAAAAGCTTACACCATCTCATATTGATCAAACCGTAAAACATCCAGTCAAGAAAATGTTTTGGGGATGTTTTTCATACATGGGGGTTGGATCTTTGGTGCCAATTGAAGGCATGATGAACAGCCAAAAATACAAATCCATGTTGGAAAAGTATTTGGACAAACAACTCCAAAAATGTCAACACCAAGGAGGAGCGATTCTTCAACAGGACTCTGCTCCCTGTCACAAATCAAAGGAAATGATGGCATTTTTCAAAAATAAGAAGATTAATGTTTTAGATTGGCCCGGTAATTCGCCCGACCTCAACCCCATTGAAAATTTATGGGCCATTTGCAAAGCTAGACTGCGAAAAATCGACTGTACCACTAAAACAAAAATGATAGAAGCGGCCATTCAGGTTTGGTATCGAGATGAAAGGATATCTGACAACTGCCAGAAACTCATAGAATTTATGCCAAAACGGGTAAAAGCAGTAATTGCTGCCAAAGGGGGACATATTTCCTACTGAATGATGTAAGTTTACCTTTATAGTTTTGTCAAAATATAATTTTTTACTAAATAAACTGTTTTTTCATTAAAACAGCCTATGATTCCATTAATTCGCACAATACTGTATGTAACAATCAAAACGACCCATTGTAACGGCAATGAAACAATAATGAACACTTAGCAGTAAATAAGACCTTGTGGATACGTCAGTGAATTCTTCTTTGCTTCGTCTTTACGTGCAATTCGCGATAGCCAATTCCAACAGGGGGCGCTGAAGATTTCAAAGATGGACGATAACTTCGGGAAAACAAATCATTTTGTCATTTGATCTCTAAGCTATAAAACGTTTAATATAAATCATTTACACGCGTGTTTTGCCAAAGTAAAAGTTGGAGTACGTCTTCTAAAGTTTATTTGTTTGTGATTCGAGTTTATACATAAGGTAATTGACTCCCAAACCTGAATAAAAATAAAATTAAATGTTTGTTTTTCTACAGTATGTCTGAAACACGGGAAGTAAAATTTACATTATCTTTTATACAGATTGAACGAATTTAAAACGGATCATACAATTTAATATATGTCTGTTTGAACTGCATTTGAAATAGTGGACCAATATAAAACTTGGACAAAAATAAATTCTATACCTGGGTATAGACATTGTATAAAATATCGTTCAACTATCTGTCTCGCAACAATGTTGTTTGCGCAAAGGAAGCGATAATAGTTCAGTAAATGAAGCTCGAAAAAGTTAAAACTTCGCAATTTTTTCGTCCTGCATGGATTGAGTTGAAATTTCAAACAGAAGGTAGGTGATAGCCCAAGGATCAAAATCTATATCGAACCGAAGTGCGCTGAAGGGTTCTAGGAATGAAACTACCCCTAATTGTCAAAAATTATAATATAACATATTAAACCTGAATATGGGTAAGATTTGGTTTGAATTAGTTAAATAATGATTATTTTATACTTTTGAATAGAGTTCCATCATATTTCAACCCTTAAAAAGCAACCCTTGTTAGAGATTAATGTAAAACATATTACTAATTCTAAAAAAATGATTTCGCCTTGAATCGATTTGGATAAAAATTTGGATTTAAGCTCAATTCACCCACTGCTTTATAGTTTATATCATATCGACGAACCCTGATTGTTGTTAGGGGTGAAAACTACCCCTAATTGTCAAAAATTATAAAATAACATTAAACATGAATATGGGTAAAATTTGCTTTGAATTAATTAAATAATGATAGTTTCGTGCTTTTGAATAAAGTTCCATCATATTTCAACCCTTAAAAAGCGACCCTTGTTAGAGATTAATGTAAAAAAAAGTAATAATGCGAAGAAAATGATTTCGCCTTGGAACGATTTGCTTAAAAATTTGGAATTAAGCTCAACTCACCCTCTGCTTTATAGTTTATGTCATGCCAATGAACCCTGATTGATCTTAGGGGTGAAAACTACCCCTAATTTTCAACAATTGTAAAATAACATTACATATCTTAAGATGAGTGAAATTTGGTTTGGATTAGTTAAATAGTGATTTTTTTATACTTTAAAATACAATTTCATACATTTTCAACCCTTAAAAATCAATTGTTATGAGTGCTATAGGTGAAAACAATTTTTTGACAAATTTTGAAACTTTTCAACTTTTGAAAATCACCCTTTTATAACCTAATTTAATAGATATAAATTGAAAAAAGTAGAATTAAATACAAAAAAAATTATCAACATAAAAAGGCACCATATATTCTTATACATTTACATAAATAGTTGAAAATATTTACATTTATAGGTAAAACAATTATAATATTAATTTTATTCGTCATCAATTACATCTTCATCGTGATCTATGTCATCATCATCTTTTTCAATTATTGGTGGACTATTATTGCACCCTTCACCTGAGCACCAAGAACAGGTTAGAGTTACAGTATAAACCAACTTTTCTGCACCCACATGAAACGCCGCATCCTTTTTTGCATTGGCAAAAAATAATTTTCAAAAGTTCATCGGGTGCAGGTTGTTTGTTCATGCGTACGGGTAATAACAAACCATCTTTGGAATGACATCCCCAATCTGTTGCTCTGATATTTTCATTGCCAAGCCATAGACATATGAGCAGATGCTTTATTCTGTTGTATGGGATTTCAAAATAAGAACGCTAAAAATTTTCGAATGTATAACGCCCCACTACCTAATATACCGGTTTTGTAGATTATTATGCTCAGAAATGTACTGTACTATACTAATGGAATTTTCCGGAAAAAAAAATTAATTGGTTTTTTTAACGTATTTCTTTCATTTATAACAATAGAGTGTTTTCTTCAAAAACGATTTTGTAGAGGTTTTTAAGAGCTACAAGGATCTGTGAATTAAATCTTTTTGGAACCCTTGGTTTTTAAATGGAAGTGAGTTTAAAGGGCTCGAAAAAGATGGTGCTTGATCGTAAATCGATGCTTTAAACGGCTATATCTCGCCAAATATTCATTGTACAACAAATCTATATAAAGGAAAATTTTAGTCATTAAAAAAGATACAATTTTAGTACATTTTTATTTTTTTCATATATATTCAGTATTTTCGAGGATATTTAAAAAAAAGAAAAGTAAAAATTATGAAATTGTAAATCGTTTATTATTAACGTTTTTAATTATGCCTTACGTTTTCTACTAATAACTTCATGAGACAGTTTGGGCAATTTTGATGAGGGCACAGCATTTTTCTTTAGTCTTCTCAATTTAGTTTCAGGCTATACAGCCTTCAAAGCCTTCCGTTAATTACGCTGCCATTTTTCTGGATTTCTTAACCTCTTTCGGGTAGCCTGCTTGTTTTCAGGTTCGGTTTGTTCATTTAAAGCCATATCACATCAACTAATAAAATTTCACCACTGAACACGATTGTAACAGATTTTAAACTGAAACATTTATAACGGCTTACATCGAATACAATATTATTACTTTTGAACTAACGTATTCATAGACGCAGGTGGACTTAAGTCACTGTTGCGCTGAATCATAACAAATTCTTTTCACAACAACAGCAATCTTATGCTGTCTGCGGTATAACCAATGGAGACAGGACTTGGCTGTTTGTTGCATTGAAAACAATGGCTTTTAGAGAGGCAAAAACATAAAAAATACTGGACTTGGACCATTGTTGTTCTGACACACCCATTTTACAGTTATCCTTAAGGTACTTATAAGGGAAATTAAAATTTTTGCAAAGTTTTGCTGCTAATACTTTTTTTTCTCTTCTACAGAAATACATATTATTAATATTATATTACCTTTTAGAGCCTCTAATGGAACATGAAATCGAATCTGGTTATTCGTCACTTCAAGATATTGTTGAAAAATATTTAAATCATTCCGGATATTCCATAATAGACCTCACTGAACTTTTCTCCATGCTAGATCCTCACAAAAAGCGAGAAAACACAGCAATCAATGTACATACAGATATAGAGGAAGACGTCCAATATATGGATGAGGAAGAAGAAGAGGATGTGTAAATACTTGTTACGGAAATTTTATATAACATAAGTTTTAGTTTTTATGTACAAATTTTATATAATATAGTTTTAGTTTTTTAATAAAATTGTGTCATAATTTTTGATAAAATTGCCTTTATTATCCTTTATTATACACAAACGGACAGGGTAATATAGAATATTCGAAAGCCTTCTTTACATAATTATCCACTTCGTTAGTATAGTAGGTTCGCTATATTTACGCGGGTTTCGGATTAACAAAATTATGCTAATGACTCATCGATAACCAGTTGCAGTAAACGACTTCCCAAAAAATTAGGTAAAAACTGCATTAATGGTCATATTTTAAAATATATTAAAATAATATTAGGGTAGGTATAAATTTGTTACAATATTGCAGTTGAATTGATTCTTTGCCAGTGTTGACATTGTATGTTTGGTGGAAATATTTAAAAATGCCTAGATGTGTGGTAGATGTAGATAGTCTAATTTGTAGTGGACATAAGTATTTTACGGATGAAAAAGAAAATGGCGGTCCTGTAAAATCGGTAATGTCTGTTCAACAACGCGTATGTGATGCTCTAGGAATTAGTGAAACCAAACTAAGAGGAGTATTACAAAATCGCAATAATGAACGGCCGAAAGAAGATCACCGAAAAACTCGCCTATCATTGAAAACGAAAGATATTCCAGATGGAAAAAAATTTGAAATTCGTGATACCATTTATCGAATGCGAGCCAACAAGGAACATGTGACCTTAAATACAATTCTCTCGGAATTAAAAGATAGAACAGTTGACGAAATTGGCAGAACAAGTCTATGGCAAGTGATACATAATTTGGGTTTCAAATTTCAAAAGGAGGATAACAGAAAAGTCCTTTGTGAAAGAAGTTCTGTTGTGCATAAAAGAATTAACTTTCTAAGAAAATATTCTAAATTAAAAGAAGAAAGGGCAAATTTTATATATTTAGACGAAACATGGATATTTTCTAGGGGTGCAACCAAGAGAATATGGCAAGATGATAACGTAAAGTCTATCAAACATACTGATGGAGAAGGGAAGCGACACATAATTTTACATGCAGGAGGGAAATCGGGTTTTATAGAAGGTGCTGATTTAATATTTTCATCTAAATCAAAATCAAGTGACTATCACGATAATATGAACACAGAAATGTTTGTAAAATGGTTACATGAAAAACTTCTCCCAGGTTTAAGTGAGCCCAGCGTAATTATTTTAGACAATGCACCTTACCATTCTGAAGTATTAAACAAAAGTCCAACGAATTCTTGGACTGTTAATAAAATTAAAGAATTGTTGACAAAGGAACATATACCATTTACACAAAATATTTTAAAATCAGAATTATTACGCTTGGCAAATATCCACGCAAAACCAAAAACCTTTGTTGTGGATCAGATTATTGAAAGTTACGGTCATCAAGTTTTACGTCTGCCACCGTATCATTGCCAGTTTAATCCCATCGAATATATATGGGGAATAGCAAAACAATATTATGACAACCATATTGGGCCTAACGGTTATAGTGACGATGCAGTTCGGGAAACTTGGCGAAAGGCACTTTCAATTGTAACTCCAGAAGTGTGGTGCAACTGTATATTCAAGTGCGAGAAACTAATAGAAAATTGGTGGACTCGTGAAAATAAAATAAACGAAATAAGTCCAATCATAATAACAATTAATGGTGATGACAGTTATGATGATGACGATTATGATATTTTTGATGATAATGACTGATTTTCATTTTTGTTGGCAAGTTAAATTTTTTATTTTTCATTAGAAATTCTCTCCATGGAACAAATATACATAGACCATATTTTCTGTGTGAAGTGTAATATAAAATTATTATTAGGTTTATATTAGCCACATTAGACTTCATTAATGAAGTAATTCTCCTTATTATACTGTCAATTATATAAAAGATTTCCATTATCATTTAATAAAAAAAGTTATGGATTATTTTTCATTTCATTTGACCAGTTGATATTTCCCCAAAGAGCAGGTAATTAAAACTGGGTACTTACAATAAAATTTTTAATCCGAAACCTGCGTAAATATAGCGAATCGACTTTAGCACAGTGGTAACCTTTAGGTATGTTCATTTGTACAGCGATAGTAGTACATGCCGTTGTGATGGTGAAATGGAATTCATTAAAAATGCCTCATTAATATTTAAGTCCGGTTTTATTTTTATTTTGAAATGAATTATGAATGAATTAATCTTCATTAATATTTAAGACCGGTTGTATTGACAAGTCGGTAATTTTATGTGATGTTAATGTAATAAACGTTATCATATAGAGTAATGTGTTTCCTTTAGAGCACACTATAGTCGCCTCGTATTTCGGTGAGCCTTTGTAAAAATATATTTATCTGTAATAAAAGCAGGCAATACAAATTAAAATAAAAGTACTCTACCAGGAGTAGTTATTAACAGCAAAATTATCAGTGAACTATATGTATAATAATATAAAGTTTTAATATTCTGAAGTGCCTAGTATTATGTTTGAAAATATGGGCAGTCACCTAGTTGAAGTATCATCGAATTGTTGATTAGTCTACGTGGACCATAACAATATATACAACAATATACAGTGTGTAAAAGCCAAATGGAATAAATTCATTATTTAGTGTAGTTTCTCTAATGTTGAAGTAGATCTTTGGGATCAGAAATTAGTTTATTGTTCTTCACAATACTGTTAAAACTGCAAGGTTTTGTATGACCTGTCACTTCTTTAACGAGTTTATGTATGTTAAAGTGGTCATGTTTTTCTTTCAATTCCTCCATTTCTGCACACCTGTCTAGCAGCCACTGTTCTTTAGCTTTGCGACACTCTTTTCGTATTTGTCGGTTAATCTTCTGATGTATTAGTCAGGCCGTGGAGTTTAGGGATCTACATTGTAAAAATGACATGCACCCTATCCCCCATGCTATGGCATGCTGGACGAGCCATACAGTCTGTAGTCGACACCCCGCGGTATGAGCGGAAATACAAAGTGTACCAATACCCATACGCTTATGAAACGCACCTGGCGGATCATAGGGGCCTTCACATTTTGCTCTTTTTCAACTTGTCTGGAGTGAAATGTCTTTAATCTTTCCTATCGGCCTCTCTTGGCAAACTCTTGTTTTTCCGACACCGAGTGGCTATTAGGGTAATCCGAGTAAACCCTAACAGAAAATCCTGGTCCTCCTGGTAGGGCGTTGGTCCTCCTGCTCCTCTACACCCGTGAAAAACTTACTGCAAAAAATTCTAAAATCCAGTCTCGGAATACGGACGGGAAAAAACGAAGACGACGTAGCAAACGAACAGGGACTTTGAATATAAATACATGGAATATCCAAGGGTGGAGAACCAAGTCAGACGAAGTCATGGCAGAAGTAAAGAAAATAAAATCAGATATCACGGATCTTACCGAAACAAAGAAAAAAGGCCAAGGTAGTGAAGACATAGGAGGTTTTATGCATATGTATAGTGGAGTAGAGAAAGACAAAAGAGCACAAGCAGGGGTATCAATATTGATAAAAAAAACTTAAAAGGAAACCTGAGAAGCTGGGAGCAGATCAATGAGAGAATTATTAGAGTATCTATTACGTGAAAGGGCACGACCTCGAGATCATTGGAATATATGCTCCGTCAGAAAATGCATCAAAAGCAGCTAAACAAATATTCTACGAAACTTTATCGGAAATCATTGAAAATATAAATAGCCGCAAAGAAATTGTGCTGTTGGGAGATTTTAACGCTTGGAGAGGAACAAAAACAAATGACAAAGTCGTAGGAAAATATGGTGACGCTAAAACAAATGAAAATGGGGAACACTTAATAGAATTCTGTGAACAGCACTCTATGAAAATCCTAAACGGATTCTACCAACATAAAAACATACATAAGTACACCTGGGTTCAACCAACGAGAAACACAAAGTCAATTATAGATTATGTCATCACAAAACAAGAAACACACATCCAAGTTGAAGACATAAGAGTATTAAGAGGACCAGAGTGCGGAACTGACCACTATATGATAAGATAAAAAATGTTACCTACAGTATCGACCTCGGCTACTACATCAAAATGACAACCAGATAGCTCAATCAAAACCCATGGAATCGAATCTACCTAAATACAATATTGATGCAATGCAAAACGACTCGATATCATTCTTATATAAGCTGCGACTTAGCCAAAAATTGGCAAACCTGATCTACTTCTGTAAGTTTCCTGGGTGGAGAAGATTCGTAACTCCACAATACTTGAACGTCTCAGCAAGACCACTGAGATCATAAAAAGCATCAAGCAGAGAAAGCTGGAATATTTCGGACATGTAATGAGAGGTCCCAAATATAGATTGCTACAAAATATCATGCAAGGAAAAAGCAGGCAAACGCAGTCCAGGACGAAGAAGAACCTCATGGTTGAAGAACTTGCGAGATTGGTATGGTGTAGATACAAGCATGCTATTTAGGGTGGCAGTGAATAAAATTAAAATAGCTATGATGGTAACCAACGTTCTGAAAGGACATGGTACATGAAGAAGAAGAAGATCTACTTCTCAGCCCAGAATACGTATAAAGAGATAATCAATAAAATCAATGAAGCAGCTTACGAAGCGCTCGGCACAATCCAAAAGAACAAAAGAATACTCAATTGTGGTGGACAAATGACATCGCCAATGCAGTACACAACAAGAAACAAGCATATCAAAAGTGGCTGCAAACAAATGATTCAGATGGTAGACGAACATATGCAAGATCAAACAGAGAAGTAAAAAATTTAGTAACTAAAGCAAAAAATATTTCCTGGGAAAGTAAATGCGAAGAACTCAACAAATATATAGGGTCAACAAGATCAAGAAAAGCATGGAAAACGGTAAAAAATCTGAGAACAAACAGAAAAGAAACGAGTAGAATAGATTTAATAGAAGAAAGATCTTGGATCGAACACTACTCACAACTTTTGACTGAAACAAGACCTCAATTCACGAACATCAGTAC